GTGTGTGTGTCAAATAAATGCCACCCCTTCAAGATCCTAAAAATTGTACTGCTAGACATGAGTGTATCCTCAAAACGTATTTACGTTATGTTTCTAAAAGCTAGCTTTGACTCCGACAAAACCCAGACTTAAACACAGCGTGGGCTTCTGGGCTCGTGCTCGCGAGATATGCCATGATGTTTTCACAGCACTTTCACACCATGGCTCCACCTATAACGCAGAAGCAGCCATTTTCAATGTTTTGGTGGCCCAAGCAGCCAATCTGGAAGTTTTGGTACCTGAAGTTACCGCAGCTAGCAAGACTGCTGCGTGAAGCCACCAGATTCAGTATAGTAGCCTGACGTCTAGCTTGTGACGATGACGATAGGTGCGCCATGTGAAAATTGACTTTAATATCAAAATAATTTATTTTGTCAGCATTTACGGAGCCTCAAGCTTGCTCAGAGGTGTTTTTAAATACAGTAGATTTGTGTGGTAGAGTTAATTCACCTCCTAAAATTAGTGTCACTACCCTTTAATACACTCAAGCCAGCGGGTATAAAAGCTTCAACAGGCGCTATTGAGTCCACGCTTTATAGTATACGCACAACGGAAACTTACCAGTTTTCTTTGTGTGAAGTCTTTCTTCAATAAATTCATAACTTACCATTGTTAAGTGGTACTTTCTTCCCAAGCATTATTCAGTGACACGTGCAAAGCCCCCCGGCCCTCGCACTACTTTTTTATTCTTTTTTCGTGAATAACCTTCTTCCTTCCTACTCATCCTATTAACCCCCCCCCCCCCTTTTCGCATGTGCCCTCTCCTCCTCGGTTGCTGTATTGGAGGAAGGGACACGCACCAGTGCTCAGGAAATCATTTGCAGCCTTTGAAAACACAAGTCCACTTGTCGAAACGTCGGCTCCGGAACCCATCTTCTGTTTGCGAATTTCTTAATCGTTCAAGGCTGCTTCACATCAGACAAGCGTGCCACGCGACCCACAGCCTTCCTGCCCAGCCATCTTTGCATCTTGGACTGGAGCAAATTTTTTTCTGTATGAAATGTCTGGAATACTGTGCCCAATGTGTCTTGGTATGCGGAGCACGTCTTACGTGAGTTCGCACCAGGTGCTCTTTGCGACGATATAGTTAAGCGAGGAGATAAACTGAAAAGTAGAAAAACGATAAAAACAGTGTACGGACGAAAAAACAAAAAACTCGCACACTAACCAAAAAAAAACATATTAACGCGATAGCGCCGAAAGGCCACGTCGCTGAAAATTCGGGGTCAAAAATATGCTGGCGACGGTTGTATAAAACAGAGCCATGCCAGTGCTTGAAGCTGCTTTGGATGAAATGTCCTACATCATACAGACAAGGAGACCTGCCAGTGGACGTGATACCGCATGGTAAATAACAATTATATGCAGAGGCTTACGTCCGAAAACCACGAGATAATTATGAGGGATGCCGTAGTGGAGGACTCACGCTTCTGGATTTCTTTAGTGTGCAGTATCATCGCACAGTATACACTGGCCTCAAAGCCTTTCGCCTGCAGCAAAATGCGACAGCCGTGACTGGGATCAAACTCGTGACCTTCGAATCAACAGATGAGCACCGTACCCTCAGACCCTCCGGGACGGACAATGTTGCGTGACAGAAGCGTATAACCATGTGAAAAGCACGCGAATGTGTAACGTTAGGTAGCTTGAAGCTCAATGCCCAGGAAAGGCTTAGCTATGATTCATTATTATCAGCAACCACAGCGTCAACAAGGTGTGCAGCTACGTAACGACATGCTAACTAGTTGTTGTTGTTGTGACCTTTCATCATTTTTCATGCACGAACATAATGTCTGGGAACAAGCAATAAAGCAAAAAGAAAAGGCTGCGACACAGTAGATAGCGTGCCTGTCATGTGCAGTCGTGGACCCAGAGGTCGCAGGTTCGACTTCTGTTGACGCAACTTTTTTTTCTTTGTTTTGTGATCGTGCGCATTTTTCCGACGTCACTTTCATGACGGAGCTATGTCACTGAAATCTTGGTGGACCCCGGCATAAAACACTTTCGTGTTAAAAACTCTGCTCGAATAACCACTGAAAAACTTTAGCGCTTGTTGCTAATACGCTTTTCAAAAGAGAAAAAAAAAGTGATTGCTGTATTTTTTTAAAACACTAAGTCGCTGCCTAATGGGATCATAAGTGGAAAAGTAAACTGACTCATATGCCGTAAAAGCACGTGAATGTTGCAAGAAAAGAAAAGTGTAGTGATTGGTGCGATTCTAAATTCTGCGCTCCGCCACTATGAAACCTCAGGAAGTGTGCAGCACGGGCATCCAGTGACTCCCGCTCTTAGAGTTCTTACTGCTCTATTGACCAAAAGAAGCATGTAGGGTTTCCCCGGCACAGCTCGACTAGCCAACTCGGCGTGCAGCATGTACAATCGACCGCAAAAGTATGGGGACTACGCGAGCACAAACTAAACTAGCACCAAACTGCCTCTCCGCGCCACCCAGCGGCGCACCATCTACCGTCGACAGCAGTGCTAGGCGGGAAATTGGTATTCTTGTTTTTGACTGGCCTGCAGCTTTCTCTACTGCCGCGTAACGGATTGTTAGTTCGCAGTTTTTACGCGAAGCGCTCATATGCACTATAATCATCACATTTTTGTTTTCAAAGCAGGACGAAAGCTATCACGACGTGCCTTGAACGGTGTTCCGCTGGCTGGGTATCATTTGTGATAAGGATTGCGACAGATAACAGTCGCAATCTTTATCACAACTGTTCATAGACTGCTTTCGAGGGAGAAGCACGTACACGCTGATACCAAAAAGCACACCGCATTAAAAAATTTCGCCCGCAGAGAACTCCAGTAAATGAGTAAATGTCGAAGAGTGGGGGGGGGGGATATCTCGTGAATGTTGCGTAATTGGGTATGGCTTGGGAATGCTTAATTGTTATTTTGTCTTTAATAATCGTATTTATTGAACGAAGGATAATCGTTGCCTTCAACGAGTGGTAGGACGCCAATGTGCGATCCAGTGCCTACTTATACGGGGTGGCCATTGAACGGGGTTGTGCAGCTTGAGCAATCGATTTTTACTAGCAGACGCTGCATGCATCAGGTTTGCGAGGCGAGAGAGAGAGGGGGGCAGCAAATAGTTGGTGCGAGAGCAAGCATGCGCCACTATACGCGAGGCGAGAGCATGCGCAGTGGGCGTGTGGACATCGCAACCGACCCACCACGTGTGAGATGTGCGAGGGATGTTCCTCCAGCACTGCGGTGCTGCCGACCACCGCTGACGTAGAAGAAGTGTCCCGAAGAGATTTTCGCTACGCTCTCACGTGGTCAGTAAATTTTTGTGTGCGACTGTGGACTACTTTTGCGCTTTGTCCACTCGCTGGTTGTTACAGCAGCTGAGATACGGTTATTGTGCAGCGAGTTCCCTCAGGTTGTTTTCCGCTTCAGGTGCAGAAGCTCCGGTGAGAGCAGGAGCCTTGTGAGGCTTTTGCACAGAATGGGTGTCAGTCTTAGAAGCATCTTCCACGATTGCAAGTTATTTACTGCAATTACTTCTCGGTTATTCCTGTTTATTGCACCATTTTCGACCTTGTTCGTTTATTACCACATGGTTTTGAGCATCGCTAGCCGTGTTCAAGGCCTGCACTTAGTTTCGAGCGTAATCACACCACATATATATACGACGACGACGAAACTGTAGTGAAAATTACGAGACCGATGTAGGAATAAACTGTGAGAAAACAAAATCACATTGTACGAACAAAAACTGCAAGAATTGTTCTGTTTCCTCCACGAAACGTGCAAGCCAGCCTAAATGCTGCACTGCACGCATGTTTATCGTCTCACATTTAATAAAATACTCGCGACTTCGTTTAACAGACGGAGGAAAGTGACCACGCTAATTGCAAAGTACGTGGGTGCCTTTGGTTGTACACAAATACCGAATATCAATTTTCGAACTCGAGTATGGGCGGTTAATGCGTACTATTATATATTTGTTGCTTATACATGTTGAATTACCCGCCATGTTGGTCCAGTGGCTGAGGCACTCGACTGCTGACCCGCAGGTCGCGGGATCGAATCTCACCCTCAGCTGCCACATTCTTGATAAAGGCGAAAATGCCTGAGGCCCATGTGGTTGACTCGAGGTGCACGGTAAGGAACACCAGGCGGTCGAAATTTCCGGTGCCCTCCGTTACGGCGTCTCTCGTAATCATATGGCGGCTTTGTGGCGATACACCAGAAAAATTAATATTAGTGTTTTTAACTGGCACTGAAATTTTCGCCCGCTCACTGTTAGAGAAATCGAGAAAGATTCTACCAGAAATGCACGCTCAGCGCGAGCAAATGCATACCATTTAGTATTTAGGCTACTGTCATGCTTTTCGTATTCGCTTGAAAACTTTTGTATAACTTGTATGTAGCCATAGCAATGGGTCGTGTACAATCTTGCTGTCGTACTTAAGCGACCCTATGAGAGCCCAATTATGTCATGCACATTTTCATTTATTGTACCACTCTTGATATTGTGACAATTTCGTACGTTGACTTTGCAGGGCAAGCTGTTTTCACATATTCGACACCGTTCGCCCCCAATGTCCTGCATGCGTCGGACCAAATGGCCCTTTATAATTGAACAAGTTGCCTCGGCATGATTTGCAAAGGGTGCAATGCAAATGGGATAACACTGGGAACAACGATGTCACAGCCAGCAGTTATGCCGACGATCGGACTGTGAGGCGGGCCAGGTGACCAGTCCATGCGAGGTCATCACGCGGAATGTTGCGAAATGATTTCACGCCGGTTGTGACAACGGTCTTGAAGACGGTGTACGACTGGGCGTCCGGACGACAGCAGAATCTCGTTGAAAGAGAAAGCGCCGCGTGCATCTTTACCGGGCGAGGAGAAGAGAGAGGGCCAACAACGCCGATGGAAAGAGTTCTGCGTGCAGCGGCGGGTGTACAAAACCGGGTTGTCTTTCGCCTTCGGTGCAGACGAGCTTGACTCCGCGAAGGGAATAAACCACCGCCACCACATTCGACGCAGTGCTGACGCCGAGTCTGACACTCGGCATTCGCGCACCGGTCGCAGTTGTTCTTCGTCGCTCATCGTGTCAGTGTGACCAGAACCCTTCGGTGGGAAGCCATGGAGTTTTTATCGGCCGGCAGATCGGCCACATCCTTCCTGGTCGCCGCGCTTCTCGTCGCCTGCGCTTGCCATGCTAACGCTGCAAGTGGTGAGTGAATCCACCTTTCTTTATCTGTTCCCTCTCTTCACGACATCCGGGTAATTAGGAGAAAGTAAAGGAGCTGTGGACATGAACTGTGGTCATGCAGCGTTGCGCTTAAAACGATCTTTATTGTATAGCCCCGCCGCGGTGGTCTAGCGGCTAATATACTCGGCTGCTGGCCCGCAGGTCGCGGGATCGAATCCCGACTGCGGCGGCTGCATTTCCGATGGAGGCGGAAATGTTGTAGGCCCGTGTGCTCAAATTTGGGCGCACGTTAAAGAACCTCAAGTGGTCGATCTTTCCGGAGCCCTCGACTACGGCGTCTCTCATAATCATATGGTGGTTTTGGGACGTTAAACCCCACATATCAATCAATCAATCCATCTTTATTGTATACAGCTATATTTCAGCGAATTCTTCGTGTCCAAAAGGTTGCTTCAGAAACAACCAGCGTTTTCAGAAGCATTTTTGATAGTCAGCGGATAATTGACAATGCACCTTTGGCATCCACTTTCTACATTCAAGCTGCATGGCGGTGGTGATGGCCTTGAGTACATATGGCATACAAACTGGCATACATATTCAATGAGCATAGAATATTCACTTCAATGTCTCGAGGCCTCTCATCGTACAGAAAACGTTGTTCAAATCCTCACCTCACCAAACAGGTATTAGCTGGCATTGTCTCACGCCCGACTTTCATCTTGCCTAAGTGATGCGTGCGCTAAGCACAAGCACCCGGAACTAATTTTCCACGGGTTCTGCATTGCGCGAGGATAACAAGCCGCTTGACTCGCGCAAGACAGCTCAAGTGCATTTCGCGAAGCTTCAGGCTTACCCAGTTTGGTCGTGCTTTTATCACACACATTTTTTTTTTTTTTTCACATGGATACGTTGCAAATCCAGTGCGTGTAAAGCGTACAACTATAGCGAACGACAAATCGTTACCCGGAAAGTTAGAAGTGAACATGCGAGCAATTTAGAAATTATGAAACAACAATTGAAGGCCTTAATAAGCCTGCCAGTAAAGACCTAGACAACGATGCTTCGAAACTTTGCTGGTGTCACATAGTGACAGGCCCGACACTGTATATACAAAGATTTTGAGTCACGTGTGGATGATTGCTTCCAGCCAGACCATATAATAACATTACTCCTCAGCTGCTCTTGCAAGGGCATATTCGGAGGAATATAGTTTAAGTTTTTAAACCTTTCATGATAAATCAATGTAGCTGTATTAAAGTCTAGACGCCTACTGAGCACTGCATCCGTCCAAAAAATTGCACCGCGGCGCCTCCTTAAAAGAAATGAACTGGCTCAGGAAAGAAATGTAAGCGAGTTGGTATGAATGCCATGCTTCAAACTATGCGATGCATAAAAAAAGAGTTCAAGAAGTTCTCAGGATATGCACTGTTCGGCGATTCTTCAATTTAGTCTCTCTTCTTTTTTTTTTGGGGGGGGGGGGGGGACTTTACGCGTGGGAAAAGGCAGCAGGCGCTGCTGCAGCACGGAGGCAATGACGAAATCACACCAAATGAGCGGCCAGAAGAAATCAAACACGCCCACACGTTTCAGATTCAACTCACTTTTAGTCTCCACCCTCCCCACAGCTTTTTTTTTTTTTTGGATCTTATCGAAATTAAATACGCAAAATGAAGTGGGCTTTCTGGAAGATAGCATTATGAAGCGATAAACTTCGACAAGACTTATCGTACATGTGAATTGGGGCGGTATAAAAAGTGGCTTTGCCCACATCTCTTTTAGAAAAATGATCTTTGATCGGTCATAAATACCGCGAGGAGTGTGTCACATTCGCACAAATAGAATTTCTCAACACGTTAGAAGCGCGAGCATATGCTTTGTTTTCACTGCTTGCTGCTGTGATATTCCTGTAGGAATAAATTGTTCGACAGTACAAGGAAGATAAAAACGCATTTTAAAACTTGGAGCGACTGAAATAACTTTGTTAAATGCAATGAAAATATCTGAAGATACCTCGGGTCTGAGAATTGGCTGCTATAGAGTGTTCTTGCGAGCTAGTAGCGAGAACGTGATGGTTTTGCAGAATCAGCTCTGCCAGTGAATAGGAATCGACACACATTTTCACTTTACTTAAGGCATAGCAGAGGACACTGCGCACTATTGAGAAATAGTACAGGTATTGAGTTACGCTTAAAGCCGGCAGCCGCAATAAATTAGATGGACAACAACTGACTCCTTTACAATTCACAGCCGCTTATACATTATTGGCACTTTGTATGTTACCGCTAAAGAGAATGCTATAGGCGCTCGTAAGATGTCCGTGAGCAACATGAAAGGGCCACGGTTCTCTCGTGGTGCTGAGCCGAAGGTCACGGGGTCGAATCTCGTCCCCAGTGGCTGCGTTTTAAAATGCGGGGAGCCCGTGTGCTTAGATTTGCGGTCGAATACAACTTATGAATTCCGTATAGTGTCTTCGTTTGGATGACCGATTGCCTCCACGACTAAAAAATCGTGCGTCGTTCTTCGAAGGAGGCGGACTCACCGCTCGGCTCGTGTCCGTAGTGCTCGTCCACTTTTATACAACCACCTATGAGGAGCGAATGCCGCACAATTCTAAACTTGCGTTCGAGAATACGCGCACTTCAAAGAACCCCAGGTAGTCCGGAGCCCTCTGGAAATTTCGACTACGGCGTCCGTCATAATCGCATCGTGGTTTGAGGACGTCATACCGCCACAATGATTGAATATAAAACAGCGCATATAAAAAGAGAAGACAGAAGTGACGCACACGACACTAATGGGCTTATCGAAAAGAGGTAATGTGGTATGTTGCTTTTTTAAAGTAAAAAGCTTAAAACGGTGCAAGAGACAAACTTTGCCATGAGTTTTACTCTGCAGCCTTTGCTTCTTCACGAAGCATCTGTGTTTGTTCAGCGTATCACCCCACCGCGGTGGTCTAGTGGCTAAGCTACTCGGCTGCTGACCCCCATGTCGCGGGATCGGATCCCGACGGTGGCGGCTGCATTTTTGATGGAGGCGAAAATGCTGTTGGCCCGTGTGCTCAGATTTGGGTGCATGTTGAAGAACCCCAGTTGGTGGAAATTTCGGAAACCCTCCACTACGGCGTTTCTCATAATCATATGGTGGTTTCGCGTCGTTAAATTCCAAGAAGTATTATTATTCTACAGCGTATCTCACATTGCCCACTTTATTAGCAGCTGATACCACCACATTGTTTCTAAAACTCGCAGAAAAAAGAATGCACGTAGGGTGTTACCGCAACTTGCTTATGACTGTCATCTGTACTATACTACCCTTCGCCGGGCCAAATAATGTCGACCAATTCTGTCGACAGAGAAGCACGACGTCTGGTTATTTCAGGCGCTCTACATTACAGAACTTGCGCAACGCCGTTAGTGTGAGTGATTATAACGACTACCTTCAATTAGAATCTCCGCAATCTGTTTGGACTAAATTAGGGTGTCGACAATCATCTTCAGGCTACCCTAGCTGACGGAACTGGCTTCCGTGACGTCTTCTTGAACTGTACATACCACAAGGACAATGGAACGACTATTCAAAGCAGAAAGTTTGGGCAAGTTGTTGTGTGTTGAACTTGTCCATCTTAACAAGAGCAACGAAACAAACAACAAAAGTAGATACGTAAATAAAACGGACGCTCATGTTGTCGTTTCTTTCTGTCTGGCGTCCGTCCTGTTTCCGCGTCTTTCCCTCGAGTCTTTGTGCCGTTGAGCTTGTTGAGGTGCACAAAAGCCACAACCCTAAGTAAGCTGCCTCGATACTTCTTTCAGTTGGTTTATTTAGTATTGATGGAAACTGTGCAACCCACCCATAACGTACATTCCTGAAGCTAAGGCACACGTTTTTGAAGGCGCGCATTTATACTTTTCTTTTTGTGTGTGTGTTTGTAAATGGATAAGTGTTTTCAGTTACGGTAAGGAACAAGCCACCGCGAGTGCTTCGGCCAGTTTCGCGGGCAACACTTCGTTGCCAGGCTTCGTGTCAGCTACAGCAAATTGTGTACATTCGAGAGCGACGTGAGAAGGAACTATGACCTCCGAAAGGTCATGGTGGCTGAGCGTAGTTGGGAAGCGCAGAGTGCTCGTAGCTCTCAATACCCAAGCAGAGGGGTACCTCTTGCAGACCAACGTGTCATATCGCTACATTACTAGTGATTCCTCATTAAACACGAATTTGATGTTCTCTCTATCACTGCTCACGATCGCAGGTTAAGATTAGGGTATTTAGGCATTGTTTTTCGGATTAGATTAAGCTTCATGTTGCAATATTTATGATTGACTACCATAACTCAGCGACCCAAATGTCGCTGGTCCACGTGAACATGCACACCTTTATAAAAGTTAACCCTCTCAAAAAGCGAACGGTGGCGCTGGTGGCACGAAATGGCGCCTAGCCCACCCTGGAGGGACCTCGAGGTCAAGCACACACAGAGTCCCGGAAGTGGCGCAAGCAGTGCGAGAACAACGCGGTGAGTGTCCTGGAATTTCCCGCAGGCATTCCGGAAACGCTGATCGGAAGTACTCGGCGGCAGTATTATTCTCAGGAGCATCATCGTCGTCGCCAGCTCTTCTTATCTGGCACGCCTATTAAGTACGCCTCCGAGCAGGGTAAAATAAAGCAGGGTGGATGTGAAGAGCAACACAGCTTGTTGTGAGCATCTGTGTAACGCAATGCCACCCGCATTCACCGAGGCTCAAGTGCAGCTCTTCCCAGCTGCACCCTACCTCGTGCGTACTGTTCCATCTCGAGCAGCAATCAGCACTCCAGTATCGTCAAAAGTAGCGCTTTACTCCGAACGTTGTTTGTCTCTCCGATTTCCATTCAGGCCACCGATCCACTCATACGTACCGGTAATGTGGTGCTCGGATTTCTACACCTTATTTTATTTTCTGTGAACTCGGACTCCTGTGCACAGACCTTTAGTGCAGCGGCAAAAAAAAAAAAAAAACTGCGAATGTGCTTCCGTGAAACTGGGAAAATTC